CCAGGAGGACAGCTCTCTGGGGGCCCTCCCATGGGTCTGTACCGTAATTCGAGGCGGGGCCTGGGGCTCCTGCGACTCTCGTCGGGATGCTGTCCTCAAGGTGACGCTGTGACTTCCCTCGGACACCATAAACGGAAGTGGGGCGCGTCACTTCCTTAAACCGCCACCTGGTGCCTCCCGAGGCTGGCAGCGGGGGGCGCGTTCGGAGCGGGGCGCGTTCGGAGCGGCCCGAGAGCGGGCGCGAGGCTCCCTGTGACCGAGGCCTTGGCGTCCCTGGGACCCAGCGTCGGCTGTCAGGGCGCCCCACCCCGGCCAGCTTTGCCTGGAGTTTGCAGGGCCCAGTGGGGGTGGCTTTGGCCTGGGCTTTGGCTCTTGGCTTTTGGCACTTTTTCCCTCCGGGCAGGTCCTGGGTGTCCTGTCTCTGGTTCACGAGCCTCATACCAAGGCCCTCCCCATGTCACTCTCCAGTTAGCAGGGCATGTGAGCCTCACAGCCACACGGGGCCTCCCAGGACTTACAGGAGGGGAAGCCACTGTGCTGCCCGTCTGCTCTGGGGTGGGTGAGCCCTCAGAAACCGGACAGACTCCTTTGCTTTACTCGCGTTGATGCCTGAGACCCCATCTCTGTGGCCCTGAGGCCAACACCCAGGTCCAAAGCCTGCAAATTCTGAGTCCCCAGAGGGGACACTCAAAGGGCAGTACTGCGGGCAATCCTTACACAGAGCCTGATAGGACTAAAAGCAGGGGTTAGACGCTGTGGGGTCCACTCTCTTCTGGGGTAGGGGTCCCTCAAACTCGATCAAGGACCTTACCAGGGTCTCTCTGACATTACCCAGACTCTTCACCTTTACTTCTGTAAGGGCCTGGGATTCCTCCATCTGCTGACAGTGTGACAGGTTGGTCCATTGTCTTCACTTCAACGTTTTAGGTTTTATTATATTTACTACAGATATTGTGATGACTTTGGGAATGACTAGCACAGAATCTTTTTCTTTTTTTTTAATTCAATCAAGTTGGAGTTATTACAATAAAAAAGACACAGCTTTGGACTCCACATATATCTGTCACCCCCTGGCAATTTAACAAGGAACTACACTGACCACAATGGTTCTCCATTCAGCCTGTGAATGTTTGCATTGTACACCAGCCCCCTACTCCAGTCAATATCTGGTAGCAACACAGACCACCAAACACAGCCAAAGTGCATCTGCCTTCTGCTGTGCAAAGAAGTCAGGAACCATGGGAGGCCATCTGAGCTGGAATAACACCTGAATTGTTTTTCAAGGCATGCCCACACTCAGCCTTTTATTCCCAGAGTCACTGAGGTAATTAGCCTTAGGGATTCCCCCATCCAATTTTTCCCTTCTTACAACTGCACATGCCCTTCTACTACTCATTGGCAATACTTGCCCTATTTTAACTCTCCCAAATCACCAACCAATCCCATCCACTTGCACAGCCTCAATCTCAGCAGCAGGAGTGCCACATACACGTGGGCAGAAATAGCATTTTCCACTTGGCATCAAGACAGCTCTCAGCCCTGCTACACTGGCAAGGCTACAAGAACCCCCCCAGAGTAGTGAGAAGATGTAGCTCTCCCAGATCCCATCAATAACATAATTTGGTGGGTGTCACAGGGGAGCTAGCTAAGCTTTGCCTGACAATGGGCAGGGAGCGTTTTATCGTAGGAAGGCGCATCAAACCTGCTTCTGGTACTTTCATCCAATAAATCTAACCATGCAGATCACTTTACAACTTGAAGCTGGTAATGATCATTCAGAGATTCCCTGGCTTATCCGTATAAGTTGCCTGGTACCTTCCACCAGATTCTCCACTTTCTCTCTTTTTCTATCTTTTATTGAAGTCTGCATACCCATCGTTGACTGCCAGCTGCCCTGGGCTCTCTGGGCTTGTTTTAATATATGATCTCTCTAGAAATTGCTCTCCTTATCCTCAGTTATTGATGTTTTCCTGTCCAGGCTCATTTACTGGGGCACCTGGTCATTCTGACAAATCTTTGCTTCTCAAAATAAAGGGAAAAGTTTAAATGACATATCAGAATTCTAGGAGCATGTGCCCAGAATTATCCTGGTAATCATGACATCGCTGCAGAAATCCTGCTTCATATGAGTGAGGGATTATGTTAATTTTCTGCTCAAGTTAATTACGAAACAGGGAAACACAAATTAAAATTGAGACAATATAATTGCAGCCAAAATGTTGCCCTAAATTTAAAACTGATAAAATAAAATGCCTGCTAGAACGTTGGGTATTCACATAAATTAATTTGTGAGAATATGAATTGGTACAGCATTATTGGAATACAATTTCAGAAATATTCAGATACTCACAATCATCAAAGTATTTTCACTTTAATCCAATTCGTGCATTTCTGTTTCCTATAAGCAAACATCCATATTTGCCCAACAACCACAATCAGTGATGTTGATATCACAATTCCATTAATCATAGTAACAAATGAGGCACAACTTATGTGTCCATCGGGAGGAGAATAGGCACACTGTTTATTGCACACATGCTTTAGAATTCTAGGGGGTCATTAAAAGAGTGAGGTGGATCTACGTGTGCTCTCACAGAAAGATCCTGCATTCATTTTGTTCAGTGACAAGGACAAGAGGCAAAACATGATGCACACTGTTACACATGTATAAAAACTCACAGTGTCTTTTTCCTTCGTTTTCTTTCTTTTTTTCTAATTCTGTCCTTCCAGTTTGGACATGTTCTATGTGTCTCAATTTCCTTACCTAAAACTAGGGATACTGGCTGTCCTTACTTAATAGGACATCAGAGAAGGATTAGAAAAGATAGGTCAGAGAAAAGGCCTTGGCGTCTAGTAAGCACTCAATACAGGGGTGGGCAAAAGTCGGTGTACAGTTGTTCATATGAAAAAGACATGCAGGTT